GCTAGAGAATCGTAACCTGATTTAATCAAGCTGGTCCCACAGTCATAACGTGACGTCACGTGTCGATTCTGTTCATTAACCCGTCACAAATTCCATCAATGCACTTTACAGTAAAAGTAAGAAGAATGGTCTTTCTGGCATTTCGTTAATTGGCGAATTTGTTTTAGATCTGATCTTTTGGTAGAGTTTTCTTCTTTTTTCATTCTTTTCGGTGGTCCGTATAGTTTCAATAATTTATTCACCTTTTCTTGAACTCGAGAGAATTGTATTGGATTTCCAGTATTGGATTTCCAGTAATAATGGAAATGGAATCGACCAACAACAACAAAATCTGGAATGTGGGTCTCTTGCTAGTGGCGACTCTGTTAGCGGCAAAACTGATTTCGGCATTAATGATGACCAGATCCAAGAAACGACTGCCGCCGGTAGTCAATTCTTGGCCGGTGCTCGGTGGGCTGTTGCGATTTTTGAAGGGGCCAGTGGTGATGCTGAGGGAAGAGTACCCAAAGCTTGGTAGCGTGTTCACTCTGAAATTACTCAACAAGAATATCACTTTCTTGATTGGGCCAGAAGTGTCGGCGCATTTCTTTAAGGCGCCGGAGTCGGATCTCAGCCAGCAAGAGGTGTACCAATTCAATGTGCCCACTTTTGGACCTGGAGTGGTGTTTGATGTGGATTATTCCGTTAGGCAGGAACAGTTCAGGTTTTTCACTGAGGCTCTTAGAGTTAATAAGCTCAAAGGTTATGTAGACCAGATGGTCACGGAAGCTGAGGTATTCTCAATTATTTTGCTGCAATTAATTCAACTTTTATTATCTCTTTCAATGCATGTGAAGGGTTTGTTTATCTGGGTTTGCACCACCAAATGCATATATGAAGATCTGGAATTATGCATCTACATGTGCTATTTACTTACTTGAATGGACAAAATTGTCCCATTCATGATCTCCTTTTGATATTCATGTAACTGATGTTGCTCAGTCATGGTCTTTNAGGGCCTCGGAATAATAGCGAGGGCCTTGGAACCCACGATTGAAGCTAGAGAATCGTAACCTGATTTAATCAAGCTGGTCCCACAGTCATAACGTGACGTCACGTGTCGATTCTGTTCATTAACCCGTCACAAATTCCATCAATGCACTTTACAGTAAAAGTAAGAAGAATGGTCTTTCTGGCATTTCGTTAATTGGCGAATTTGTTTTAGATCTGATCTTTTGGTAGAGTTTTCTTCTTTTTTCATTCTTTTCGGTGGTCCGTATAGTTTCAATAATTTATTCACCTTTTCTTGAACTCGAGAGAATTGTATTGGATTTCCAGTATTGGATTTCCAGTAATAATGGAAATGGAATCGACCAACAACAACAAAATCTGGAATGTGGGTCTCTTGCTAGTGGCGACTCTGTTAGCGGCAAAACTGATTTCGGCATTAATGATGACCAGATCCAAGAAACGACTGCCGCCGGTAGTCAATTCTTGGCCGGTGCTCGGTGGGCTGTTGCGATTTTTGAAGGGGCCAGTGGTGATGCTGAGGGAAGAGTACCCAAAGCTTGGTAGCGTGTTCACTCTGAAATTACTCAACAAGAATATCACTTTCTTGATTGGGCCAGAAGTGTCGGCGCATTTCTTTAAGGCGCCGGAGTCGGATCTCAGCCAGCAAGAGGTGTACCAATTCAATGTGCCCACTTTTGGACCTGGAGTGGTGTTTGATGTGGATTATTCCGTTAGGCAGGAACAGTTCAGGTTTTTCACTGAGGCTCTTAGAGTTAATAAGCTCAAAGGTTATGTAGACCAGATGGTCACGGAAGCTGAGGTATTCTCAATTATTTTGCTGCAATTAATTCAACTTTTATTATCTCTTTCAATGCATGTGAAGGGTTTGTTTATCTGGGTTTGCACCACCAAATGCATATATGAAGATCTGGAATTATGCATCTACATGTGCTATTTACTTACTTGAATGGACAAAATTGTCCCATTCATGATCTCCTTTTGATATTCATGTAACTGATGTTGCTCAGTCATGGTCTTTAGCTTGGAAGGAGTATTGGACTATTTTGATTTAAGTTCAGCGCAAACCTTCTACTGAAGCTCAGAAAGTTGCACATTAACAATATGCAATTCATTGAAGCTTGTTTTGGTTGTAAATTCTGACTTCGCCACCTATTCACACGTACAAAATCTAACTCCGAACAATATACGAGGAAAAAGAAAGCTTACATATTCATGAACTTCTCACTCACTTCTCAGATATACACTCGCATTTGATTGTAATTAAATAGTCGACTATCAATTTTCAAAAAACAATCTAAATTTTTACCATGAATTTTTAAATATTCGATACACTTTAAACGTTTTATTCTAATGAAATATGTATTTCTTTCAAATTATAATATGATCAGTCTCACAATAGCTTCATTTGAATTTTTACCATGATTTTTCTGGCATTTCAATGCAATTACTGATTGTGATGTAACAGTGAAGTACATGTATGGTCCTAAGATTTTAGTCATTTTATGCAATATATTGAAAAGGTTGTGGACTCTTAAGGTGGTTANTTTGGAAGAGAGGCACAAAGCACTGGTTATGGAATACACTCTACTTCCTATGAACCAGGTTTATCATAAAGCGAAACGACAATCAACTGCCGCCCAAGAGGAAATATTGCTCCACGGGACTCCATTAAGAACATCAAAAAATATATTAAGCCCCTGTTTGACCCACAGTATTTTTTTTATTCTCAATCTTCTACTCATTTTTAACCACATATTCTTCAATAAAATAATATTTTCATCACATCAATAACTTTTCCTTCATTTTCAACCATATATTCCCCATCACATCACTTCAAAAAAATGCATTCTCTCATTTTAATGTGCACCAAACAGGCTTTTAGTTTAATCTTCTGTGGGATAGATGTACTTGAGTGATTTGGTCGAGAAATCTTGTGAGCTTACTTACAAAAGAAAATAGTCGAGAGGAGGTGGGGTCGGACGTTGGAGACATTAAAATTGGTTTGCATGCCTGCGAGTAGCTCCCCTGTTGCCTTCTTAAGGAATCTGCAAATAGTGGTCGCATCGTGTCATGCAGAATACTGGAACAAATCACTAACTCATTTTCTTGGGTCCTATGAGCTGTGCAATGACACCCCACCCCCACCCTAGTTGCCAATTCCCTCTTCCATGTGACCTGAACACGTGACTATCTACACATAACCTAACCACTGGGCAAACAACTAGTTTCTCATATAATGTCTCTATACTTTAAACGAAGAAATATTTTTATGGTTTAATCTGATGTTTCATACTAAGAAGTACGGATACTTGTAAACTCATTATGTATCCGTATCTGGTAGGTATCCAAGCTTGGATACTCTCCGATTCCCTCCGATACGTGCCGAATACATATTTTTTAAATTTCTAATACGTATAGGATACATATTTTTAATATTTTCATATATTTTTTAATTATTTTCGATAAGTATCCGATACACGGATATGTATTTTTTAATTATTTTAATAATTTATTGAGCTTTAATAATATTTATTGAAAATACACAATTAGTTTATCAAGAAATTTAAATCTTTATTTACAAGGAGAATTCAAAATATGGGATGTTGATAGAGACTCATTTGATACTCTTGAAGGTATTGGGTTGCTTGAAGTTGCTAATATATCGTTAGATGAGCGAGCTAGAATTGGATACTGTTATTTTTAATGATAATGAAGAAGCTGATGCTCAAGAAAATGAAGTTTGGACAATTAAGGATTAAGATAAAATGTTTTAGTATTTTATTTTATTTTCTTGAAATTATGCTGATTTTATAATACGTATTCGAATTACGTATTCGTATCTATGCTTCTTAGGTTTCAGATCCAATTACCTTTTAAATTAATTATTTTGTGGTAATGTTTAAGAGTAACATATCATTCTCCATTTGTTATAATTTGCACAGGAGTATTTCTCCAAATGGGGAAACAGTGGAGAAGTGGACTTAAAGTACGAATTGGAGCATCTAATCATTCTGACAGCCAGCAGATGTCTGCTAGGTGAAGAGGTTCGCAATAAGCTCTTTGACGATGTCTCTGCTCTCTTCCATGACCTAGACAATGGCATGCTTCCCATCAGTGTGATATTTCCGTATCTGCCCATCCCAGCACACCGTCGCCGAGATCAAGCTCGTAAAAAACTTGCTCAAATTTTTGCAGACATCATAGCTTCTCGTAAACAAACTGGCAAGACAGAGAATGATATGCTACAGTGTTTCATAGATTCCAAGTACAAAGATGGGCGCCAAACAACTGAGTCAGAAGTCACCGGCCTGCTCATTGCTGCTCTTTTTGCTGGCCAGCACACAAGTTCCATTACTTCCACCTGGACTGGGGCATATCTCCTCTGTAACCCAACATACATGTCAGTAGTGTTGGAGGAGCAGAAGAATTTGACACAAGAGCATGGAAACAAGGTTGATCATGATGTTTTGTCAGAAATGGAAGCCCTCCATCGATGCATAAAAGAAGCTCTGAGACTCCACCCTCCTTTGATAATGCTTCTTCGTAGCTCACACTCCGATTTCAGCGTGAAAACTCAGGAAGGTATAGAATACGACATTCCCAAGGGACATATTGTGGCCACATCACCCGCTTTTGCAAATCGACTCCCTCAAATTTACAAAAATCCAGATAAATATGACCCTGATAGGTTTGCTCCTGGGAGAGACGAGGACAAGGTGGCAGGAGCTTTCTCCTATATATCCTTTGGTGGTGGAAGACATGGTTGCCTAGGAGAGCCATTTGCATATCTGCAAATAAAAGCAATCTGGAGCCATTTGGTAAGGAATTTTGAGTTGGAGCTGATTTCACCTTTTCCAGAGATTGACTGGAATGCCATGGTCGTGGGTGTGAAAGGAAAAGTCATGGTTCGGTACAAGCGCCGAGAGCTTTCCCCCAATTAATTGAGTAACTCCACTAAAAGATCCCTAAGCTGGTCAGCAGGTTTGGCGTTGTGTATTTTGAACTTGCTTCTCTTAGATGTGCTGAATTCTCGATTGCTCCTTTATCATTTGTCCTTCCCAAGTTTTGGACTTGTTGCTATGTCAAGACTATCATAGTAGTTTGTGATTTGTTCTGTTTATCTTTACATCTTGAAGTCATGCTTGCAAACCAGGCTTTTATGAATGACTAGTTTGACACACGTGCGATGCACGAGCCGTTGGTGAAGTTGGGTATTAAATAGTGTGTTGTTTAAAGAAAAAAATGAAAGAAAATGAGGAAGGTTTTGACATAATTTGTAAGTGTATTGTAATTATGCTGAAAAAATATAGAATATATGTAAGTGGTTAGAATATGAGAAATGCTATTCATCCACAGTCTATGTGGCATTCAATGATAGGTGAAATTAAATAAGTCATTTAATTTCACTTATCATTTAACCAATCATTTACATCTACATAGACTGGGGATGAATAACATTTTCTTAAAATATATGGACAAACCAAAATTTTCCATACCACATCATCATATTCATTAATCTGATAAGATGGAGTGCCTCAATTGAATAAAAAATTGAAATCTAATGAATATTTAAATCGCTTAAAACGAATATTCGTAAATTAAAATATTTAATCAAACGTTTAAAAAAAAAAGCTTAACAGATTCGACCTATATAACAATAAAGAAAAAAAAAA